GCAGCGCCCCAGCACCCCCCGCCCCCGCCCTGAGGCCCGGTGCTCTCGCCGCAGGCCGGGTCCCCCAGTCCCCGGGACCCATGCGTCATCCTAGGGTACGCGCGCGTCAGACAAGGCGGGCAGCACCCTCGCTGGCGCCTGCGGCAAAGTCAGCAAATGATCCCATCCGGGCCGCAAGTGGTGCGCGGTGGGACACCCTGCCGAAGGGCCAGTGTGGAGTCGGAGGGAGTTCAGACCCGGAGCTGGGAGGCCCAGGGGGGCGGCCCACGGCCAGACAGACAGGAAAAGAAACGGGGGGAGGGGGGTCTCCCAGTTGGGAGGCGCGGCCACCCGAGCCGCACGCGTCCCCGTGGACGTGACCCGTGATGAACGGCTCGCCAACGACGGGGCCCGGGGAGGTCCTGGGAACCCACCGTCCGAGGGCTTCTGGGGCGTCTCTGGGACTCGGGCCTCGGGGGAGATGCGCACGCCTGGGACGCGCGGGGCGGGAGGGAAGGGGCCGCCTGGGCAGGGTCACTGGTCTGGTGCCGAGGGAGGACGAGGGCCATCCCAGGAATTCGCCCGGGGACGGGGGTACTTCGGGGGGCGAGGGGACTCCTGGGCTGGAGAGCCGGGCACAACGGCCTCACCACCGCACCGCCCCCCTCAGGCTGTCCGTGTCCATCACCCCGAAGCTCCCCCGCTCATTGGTCGCCAGAGGGAGGAAAGGCGGCCGGCGGCTCTGGGAGCTGGCGAAACCCAAGACCACCTGGCAGGTCCTGAGAGACAGGTGAGCCGACAGCCTCGTCGCTAGAGGCAGGTGCGGGGTCTGCGTGGAGCAGAGCAGCCCATCCGTCTGTCACCCACACGGTGCACCGGGGCGAGAAGTCAGGGATGCCAGCGGTGGGGACTCGGGCACGGTGGCCCGCGGTGGCCTCTGGGTGCTGGCCTAGGAGAGCGAGGCGTGCGGGCAGCGGAAGCTGCAGAGCGAGGCTGCGGGCCTGTGTCGCCGCAGGACGCGGTGCCGCTGTGCCGGCTACGCCTGGGTCTCCCCGCGCCTGTGGACCCTGCAGTTCTGTGTCTACTGGTGAGTCCCAGGAGCCTGTCTGTCCTCTCTGTCCCCTTCCCGGTCAGGGGACAGCCGGGCAGGGCCCCTTTCTGAGCTGCAACTTTTTCTTCCAGCTTCTCCTTCTCTGAACAACAGCCTTGCTCAAAATAATGGACACGCCCCCCGTGTCTCTGCCCTGCCCGCTGGCCCTCTCCTCCCTGAGCTCTGGCCTGACCCCCGGCCTCCCCCAGCAGCCCTGCGCCGTCCTCACCGTCCTGTCTGTGCGCCTGCGTTTGGGGGGGGGGCGCCCTGACTTGTTTCAGAGCGGGGTGCAGGAGGCCCGTGCTGGCTTCCCTTGCCCTGAGCCACGCCCGGGTGCATTCCAGGCCATCCGTGTACTGGACAGACAGGTTCCTGGAAGACACCACCCTCACTGTCACCGTGCCCGGTAGGTTGAGCCCACCCTGTCTACTTCTCTGTCAGGGGCCACCTGGCTCAGGGCTTGGCTGGAGGTGGCTCTTGTCCCAGCTCTGGTGCCTGGCCGCCCTGTCTGTCATGCTGCCCTTGATCTCCTGGGGTTGGGTCACCTCCGTCTCACCGCTGGGGAGCAGTGACGGGCGGGCTCCCTCCTCGGTGTCACCGCTTCCCCACGGTGACACGGACGGGGGGCCCTCGGCCTGCGCAAACCCCGGGCCCAAGTCCAGTTTCCCGGCCGGCGGGCTGTCGGCCACACGGGCCTTGTCGAGGGGCTCGTGGGGCTCTGAGCGAGGGACGCCAGGCCCCTGAGCCTGTCACCGGAATGGGGACCGCAAAAGCCACCCCTCGGGGGGGGTCTGGCGCAGAGCTGTGGGGTCTTGCTCCAGCCTCAGAGGCTGGTCCGTGGAGAGGAAGGGCCTGTGGGCGGACAGGGCTCAGGGTGGCCGTCTCCCGTTTGTGCAGCTGTGTCCCGCCGTGTGGAGGAGCTGGCCCGGCCCAAAAGGTTCTACTCGGAGTTTTACAATCATTGCAGGTGAGGGGCAGAGGTGCTGGGGGTCGGGCGGGCGGAGCTGTCCCCTGCCTCCCCTGGCGGGGTGTGGTACAGGGTGGGGGCAGGTGCCAGACGAGAGATCCCGGCCCGGGGAGCTCGGCCTCGCCCGCACGACCGGGGTAGGGGAACACGCACCGGTTCTTGGCACAGCGCCTGCCGGGTGGGTGGCCCGCGGTGGCGCTCGGCACCACCGCGCACGCCGCTGGCAACTGCGGGACATTCCCGTCTACCTGCAGCGTGTGACCCGGCCCTCTCGGATCACTTGGAACGTCCCCGCTTGTCAGACGAGATCGTTCGAGTTAGTTTTCAGTGCCCGTGCTCACGCCTACGTGGGGAGAACAGAACCCGGGCCGAGGGCCGGGGTGGTGCGTGCGAGCGTTCAGATCACTTGGCCTTAGGCGTCGCCATGTCTCACACGGTTTCTAAGCCTCTGTCTGTGAAAGCGACGAATCAGTGTGACCCGCAGATAATTCAGTGAGGCTTCATGAAACTTAGCACCTGCAGAGCAGAGGTGACCGCAGTGAGACAGCTGCATCCCCACTCCCGACATGGGGCTGGCAGCTGCAGGCGCTGCGTCCCAACCTCAGAGACACAGGACTAGGCCGAGTGGGCCCCGGATCGACGGACGCGGTTCCGTTTCTGGAGCGGGGCGAGGCGGGGCCTGACCGGGGAGGCTCAGCGGCAGACGCCCTGCTGCCCCTCGTGTTCCAACCTGGACGTGCTGGCGACGGGTGTCGGGGGAAGACCTGGGGACAGCGCGGCCCCAGCCCTAAGCACACCCGGGATCCTCTCACGGGCCTTTTATGAGTCCGTCTTGGGGTGCTTCTCCAAGCCTCCGCGTCCCAGGTCCTCCCGTGCCCCCAGATCAGAGAGGGCCGAAGCGGGCACACGCGCCCACGTGCTCACATGTCCCCCGGGGGGAGCGAGCGCCTTAAACGTGCCGCCCCTCAGGACCAACCCTGTCTGGCCCGTCCCTCGGTCCACCCTGGAACACCACGCCTCCAACCGCCTGCGGGAGCTGGCCACCCCGAAAGTCCGGAACAACATCTGGAGCACCCACATGTCTGAGGTGGGTGCTCCACTCCCCCCCACCCCGTCCCCGGGCCCACCCTCAGCCGCCGGGTGGCGGCCTCGCTGGGGAGTGGGGAGCAGACCGCAGAGCCCACCACCGCCGCTCGACACCGTGACGCACACAGCCCCCGGGCCGCTGTCAGCGCGTGCGTGGCGTGCAGTGTGGCATCTCATTCCGTGATTCCCCCTCAACGTCCCATGAGTCCACGTCTGACTTACGGGGAAGCAGCATTCTAACTGGCAGAGGGCACCACGTCCCCGGGGAGTGGCGCTGGACCGCAGCTCCGTGCCCCGCGTGAGCCTGTCTCCGCACGGCAGCCACCACGCGTGCCCGTGCTCAGAGGCACCGGAGGTGGCCGAGCTGCCGGCCCCGCCAGCCGAGGCGTCTGTCCCTCGACACTCTTGCCAGGGCCTGATGATGTCGGACGTTTTCATCTTGGCCCGCATCGGTTGGCAAGGGGCGACGCTGTGTTGTTTCGACTTACTTTCCCGGTCGACAGAGGGGTGACGGGCCGTGTAACCTGCCTCTGCTGCGTGACGGGCCGGGCCCTGTGGGCTCCGGTGACCGCTTTGTTGCGGGTGTCTGCTCAGGGCGGCTGCACGCGTCACAGACGGACTTCTTCCCGGGGAGCCTTCCATTCCTCGTGTCCCTGACAGGGTCTCTCTGGTCCGGGCCCGTGGGAAATCAGGGATGGTCTAGCTCCTTCCCCTCTCCTCCTCCTCCCAGGTGTCCCAGGTGTCCAAGGCAGCCCAGATGGCCGTCCCCAGCTCGAGGATCCTCCAGCTGGCAAAGCCCAGGACTCCGGCCACCCTGCTGGCAGAGTGGGACCCCGTACCGAAACCCAAGCCACATGTGTCTGACTACAACCGGCTCCTTCACTTGGCCAGTGAGTGGGTCCTGTGGCCTGCCCCACTGGACACGGGCAGGGTGGGCACCGGCCGGAGGCCTGCACGTTGGGCCCACTCCTGCGGGCATCACGCTCCGCTCCCCCTTCATCTCCCCCGCAAAGTGCAGACCTGTTGTCAGGCCCTGGGGGACAAGTCGCCCTGTGGAGGCCGGGGGGACGGGTCGCGGCCGGAGGGACCGCGGTCCCGGAGGTCTGTGCTGCCGCAGTGTGTCCCCTAGCAGGACGGTGGGTGCCGAGGAGAAAGGGGGCACAGGGCCAGGGACGAGGTGCAAGGGCAGCTCTGAAGTGGCCACTGATTTCCTTCCATCCTTTAAAACAAATGAGACACCGGTCCCTGGGCGGCACAGCAACGTGAGCTAACTAACTGTCGAGAGCTGAGCGTGCACCCTCCGGTGCCCTCCGCCGCACCCCACGGCCCATGCTCCAAGAGCCCTGTGGCCTGGGCCTTCTGAGCACGGCAGAACCCCCCCCCAGCCCCCTACATATCTCTGGACCAGAGCGGTGGCCTCCGCCCCAGTGCCCGGCACCCCCTCACCTTTAACTGTGTGGCAGGCACAGGACGCTGCTGAATTTAAGTTGGGTCCGTTCTTCTCTGCTCAGGGCCCTTGTCATCTGTCCCCTGCCACCCCCACCCCCCCAAGAACACTGTCCGCAGATCCTCGCGGGGCTGGGCTCCCATGGGCCCTCTCGGTCAGCAGCACCGAGCACCCCGTTTAACCGTGCACGACCTGTGCAGCCCTGCGCCCTAGTCGTGCTGTCCCTGCGGTGCCCACCCCACTCTGGGCCCTTCATGGTATGTCCATGTGTCTGTCTGTCCTTTGCGGCCTTCTCTGTGCCGAGCCCACGATGTCACAGGCTTTGGAGACACTGCGCATCCCCTGCCAGAGAGCGTGATGGGCCGTTGGGGTTCGCTCCACGCTACCCTTCCCCGATTCCTATCTCCCGCATTTTTGGTCATTGATTTGGAGCAGCTCTTTCCGTAAGGTGGTCCCCGACCAGCTGTGGGGGACGTGGCCGGGGGACCTCTCCCCAGTCAGTCCCTTCTCTTAACTTGGCTCACGGGATCTTTCGTTCGTTTGTCTGATTCGTTCGCTTACTCAGTCCCTTTATGTTTGTTAAATGACCGGTCAGTGAGCGGGACACATGGACACATGGGGACAGCTGCTTTGGGCCGCTCCGTCTCCCTGTCTCTCTCATTTGGAGCACAAATATGCACTCGTTTGCACACGCACTCGGGTATGTATTCACGCTTCTGATGCACCTGCGCACACCCGACCGTGTGCGCGTCTACACCGGTGCTCTTCAAGCAGCGGACTCACCCACTAACGGGTGTGACGGCTACTTAAAGGGTGACGTCACGACAGAGGAACGACCCGGGCTCTGTGGCTGGGAGGGGCCCACGGCTTTTGTTCCTCTGTGTCCACACGTGTGCTGTTTGGCAGTGGACTCAGTCACTGCTGCTGAGTCGTGGTCAACAGAGTTTGAAGCCCCGACGTTACAGGGTTGGAACCGCCCGAGCATTCTCTCAGAGGGGCCCAAAGGCGGCCGGGTTCTGCGCCTGGTCTTCCCAGTCCCCAAGGGGCCGCCGAGGCCCAACTGCCTGGCAAGCTCTCGCCCAGCCTTGGTGGCTTTGCCCAGCAGTGGCCCTGTGTGGGCTTGTGCCCACTGGTGGAAGGAACCCCACTTTCTTTTCAGCAAGGGCCTCTCCCCCCGAGAGCTGCCTGTCCACGCCAGCAGCTACTGGCCACGTGTGGCTCCTTCAGTGAAATTAAAACCAACCAATCAGCTGATCTAAGTAAATCAATCACTATCATTAAAACCGAATAGAGTAAAACTCCAGGCCATGTTAGGTGCTCCGTAGGCACATGGGCTGGTGGGAGCCACGTCACCAGCTCTCCTGAGAGGGCCTGGCTGAGGCTGCAGGAGCGCGGGGCAGTGAGAGCAGGAGCCTAGGGGCACGGGGTGGGAGCTGAACCCTGAAAGGCCTGTGCCCCCGAGGAGCGGCACCCCCTGTCCACCCAGCAGGCCTGCGGGCCCAGTCACTGCTTGCCACCCCGCTCCAATGCCGCACCAGAGGAGGGAGGAGCGTGTGAGAGGGCCCGCCGAGCCCCCTCCTCACCCCTGACAGCCACTCGCCCACTTCCTGCCTGTGGACATGCCTGTTCCAGACGTCTGACATCTGTGGAATCACACGCTGTGGCCTTGTGTGTCTGGCTTTCCTCACCGAGCGTCGTATGTTCACGGTTTGTCCACATCGTGGCGAGTGTCAGCACCTCCCCGCTTCATGGCGAGTGACACTCCCCTGTGTGGACGGGCACGTTGCGTGTGGTCCACTTCTTCGCTGCCGGATGGGCCATGAACTCGGAACTCTGACCTGGCAGAGTGACCTGCACGGGGGCAGCGGCTGCATGCCTGAGGCTCTGGTGCCGACGCTGTCCCTCTCTCCTGCCCCCTCCAGTGCCCAAGTCCCAGTCAGAGAAGTGTGTTCCTGACCGAGCCCCGCGCTGGGAGGTGCTGGACGTCACCAAGAAAGCAGTGGCCAGTCCCCGGATCATCTCCCTGGCTAAGCCCAAGGAGCGCAGGGATGCCAACGAGGGCTACAACCCCTACTACATCTCGCCGGCCTCCCTAACGGCCCGGGCGTCCCCTCGCCTGCAGGAGCTTGCCATCCCCAAGACCATCACCAAAAAAGTATGAGTACCCAGGCCTGGCCTGAGGCCCCTCTCCCAGTAAACGCCCGAGTGCATCCTAACCCTGTGTGTGTGGCTGGCTCTGAGCGCTTTGGCTGGTCTGGGGGTGGGAGGGGCTGGAAGGCCAAACAGACGAGAGGAAAAGATAATTATATTTATGTTCGCACCCAACCTGTCATTTGTGCCGTCCATTCATTTCCAAATCACTTTCATCTGCTGTCTCCAGCGCCTCCGACGTCAGACATCAGCCTCCCTCAACTTTGAGGGTTTCTCCCTGAATCTCTTCCGCCCAGAGTCGCTTCTCTGACTGCGTCCTGAGGTCCACAGGCACCTCGGGCTCAGTGTGACCTGCACAATAAAAGCAGCCGCGGTGCCGCCTCGCCCGCCCTTGGCTGCTCTAAGACGAACACCCGGTCGTCGCGCCCCCGTCAGACCAAGCACTGCTCGACGTCTCAGTGCTCTGCTGGCTGATGGCTGCAGAAAGAATGGGGCTCGAGTCCCCCACCTGCCCCGTTCCCTCCTCTGGGTCTCAGGAGGAACTGCGTCCACTCGTTCCTGCAGGTCAGGAACCTGGGAGCGACCTTCACACGCTCCCCACCTGCAGGCCGTCAGGGCACCTTGTGGGCTGTACCTTGGCAACTCTCCCTGCGACATCTCTGCCTGCTCCAAGTTTCCTCACTGGCCTCCTCGCTTCCTCTCTCGTCTGATGCTCACAGCGCTCCTCCGTCTGAAACGTAAAACGTAGCGAACTCGCTAAGGCTGTCCTGTCTCCCCCGTACCTGGCACAGGTTTGGATTGTGCAAACGGCCCGTCAGTATTTAATCGATTTATAAGAAAACAATGATGGGCTTCACGGCTCAACAGCTCTGGGTTGGAATCCGGCTAGTCACCACCTGGGATCCCTGGGAGAGGGTCCCTGTCCCTCTCAAAGCTCGTCCTAAGGTGCATTTCGCAAGCTTCCCAATCGGTTGACATACTAGCTGGAACACCACTGGTGCGAAACTGCATAAAGTTCCAGAACCGTGCACGCTGCCCAGACTTCAGTTCCAACTCGGGCTCTGTCACTCACACACTGGGTGGCCGGTACGTCTGGGCCTCAGGTTCCTCACCTGTAACACCGGGGCACTAACAGACATGGGATTGGAAGGACGAAAGGGGACCCCAGCTCCCTGCGCAGGTGTGGCTTCCAGGAATCGGTATTTTTATTAAACAGCACCCCCACCTCGCAGGCCAAGGCCAGGGCCCGGCAGCGGCCCGGAGCCCCGCGCA